AGATATCTCAAAAGCTGAAAAGCGTGCTAGAAAAATACATCTCAAGAATGAAGCACCATGAGCTGAAAGATTATAGTTGGGGGTTTTATGCATGTTACAAAACTAGTTCAATACTGGTGCAGTATCACTAGTATCTGGTTATACTGGATGCTGAGAATACTTCGTGATCATTTGCCCTATCACTACACTCATCTGTATATTTAGATGTCTAAATTAGAAGCATTTTTTTAATCCTTTTTAAAAATATACATATCTATATATACATATATACATTAATTTCAGCTTTTTTAATATAAAGCTCAGCTGTTATTTATACATATTATAGACATATGCATATATATAAAAAGCCCGAGATTAACTAAAACTTTATTCTTCAACTATTTAAAGATAAAATAAGACAACAAATAAATTGTCTCCTATATATTTCTAAAAATAATTCAAGACCAAAGAAATATGAAAATATTATAAGGCAGTGATGAAAGTTATTAACCAAAACTGGAGAAAAAGTATCAGAGAGCCATCTCAATTCAGGAATTAAAACAGATTCCAAAAATCTTAGCCAAGAAAGAGCAAGAGAAGCAACTTTAGAAGCAAATTAAACTAATCTCTGGAAAAATCAGTAAAGCAGAGTAAGATGCATAAAACAGAGCGGACAGACTCCTAGACAGAAAATTGTTATAATAAAAACATTTTGTAGCAATACTTTTAAAGAGGTATAGTAGGGCAAAACTCAGAAGAGAGAGCAGATAATTTTAAACAATTTTATAAAAAATAAATCTGAAAAGAAATACAAAGAGTTCCTATTCCATTACAGAGGCGGCAGTGAATGCTGCTACCTAAAATCTGAAGAAGGCAATAGACCCAGAGAGGTTTCATAAATGAATTTTATAAGGATTTAAAAAGAGATTTAATTCTTCTATCTGTGGAACATTTAATCACATCATGGCAGGGGAGATCATCACACACGCCAATTTCATTAGGAAACACTGATACAGGTTTTTGACACACCATGGCAGATAAAGAGAAGTATGCCCTTTAGAGATATGTATCCACATAAATCATGTCACTGTGATACACTTTAAGAGTAACACGCTACTTACTTACTTAAGTCCTACCATAGACAGAAACCCTTTGTCCTTACAGAATGGGAACATGAAGACATCATATTTTAAAAATGTGACTTTAGAAAGAAGTTGAGTACTTGTATTTCTGTTTTGTATAAAGAATTTGGGGTTTCCAGCAAAAAGAACTTCCTCAAATTAATTTATATTCATAGTGACAATCTAAACTAGTACCCACTTCACTACTGCTTATTGCTCTGCTCGATCAAACTCTGACTACAGCAATTACACATAAACCTCCAATAACAGACAAAGTCTAGAGGGAACAGATTTGCTCTGTGCAGGCAATAAGCTGCTTCTCATATAAGACTCACTTTCCATGTTAAAGTAGTAATACTTCCCGCATGGCTTAGTCCCTGAATTTAAAAATAATTGGGGCAAAGCAAATGTATTTCTGACAAGAGGTAGCTGCGATATTAAACAATTTTTAGAGTAAGAAAATTCAGCATGGCAAATTTGGATATATTACCCTGCACTAACACGTAGCTAAAATGAGTTAAAAATGTAAATTTCTAGGACAAAATAATTATCATTAAAATTATATACTCATTTTAAGTTGTACTTCCATGTATACTAGGCAGTAGATACCAAAAGCTTGACAAGCTATTCTCACAAACATCATCCGAAGATAGTAGGAGGCTTCAGGAAAGTACAGTAGTATCATATAAGCCTTACAAAATTTCACACAGCAGATCCCTCTACACACTGGGCATGTACTGTCAAGTAGCTCAGCTGAAGCAAGCGTGGAACGAGAGAGAATGAGACCAATACAAGGATTTCTCAGAGACAGATGATTCATTTAAAAAACAAAAAAACACCACCTAAATATTCAGGCTACCTAAAGAATCTTCAAAAATATATGAGGTCACACACTTTTTGGCACTGCTCATTAACCACATTTGAAAATACCAAATGCATCTTAAAATCTGTCAGATATTTTAAAAGATATCAGGAGAGGTCTTCTGCAATTACATAAACTTTTTCTGGAAGAGGACATCATATATTAAAGTCTGCAGCGTCCCAGACGGGGTACAAATTCTTCTTTTCCAGTGTCTTGGAACTTGTTATAGCAACATAAAAATCAAAAGTTCTCATAAACCTACTCCTTCCTACTTAATAATTGATATGGGAATACTCGGGAGAAAAGTGTAATCATATAACAAAGTACACACATTTAGCTCACAAAAGTGTATGTAAGAAACCTAAGGAAACAAAACTGATCTGAAGCAAGAAGAGGGGAAAAAAGAGAGAGAGATAGAGAGAGATGGAAATTGTTTTTTTGTCTGCCATACATAATTTACAGAAAATCAGTTTAAGAATTCTCTATCAATGCTACCTCTTTCTATCCAAGATCCACCAGACACATGGTCAGCATACATCCCGCTGCACAGCTTTTGGAGAAAGAGAATCCTTTTTCTGAACGGTGGTGGTTGTATACAGAAATCCAAATCTTCCAAACAGAAGCGATCACAACTGCTGTGGTGGCTGGTAATATACCCTAAGATCTTACAGTTTGTCTACTTGTTCACTTCACAGAAGTTCACTCTGTGAGAAAAAATCAGTATTCCTCTTGTGACAAGTGCTAAACTATCCAACATGGAAGAAAAAATGTCTCCTAATCACTCAAAATGTGGAATGTTAACATACAGAACGTTCCTGGAGATGGAGAAAGAGTGAGAAAATGATCAGACCCTTAGAACTACATACGCCAGTCCTGGCTTGCAAAGACAATAAAATTCTACAGCAAATAAATTTAGATTCCTAGCCAAGAATATTAACCAATTCATTTAAACATTAACATATTCCTTCTTAAATATACATATAAATTATTCCACAGCATTACTACCCAATAATAGATCTGATCCTAACTTTAAAAAGCTATTACAACTGCATAATGTTTCCTTTACAAAGTTTTGGTGCTTCAGCATCACCTAATTCCTGCACATTAATTTTTAACTGCATAAATAAAAAACTATGGGTTTTTCAGAAGACCAAAACTTCTGTAGTACCACATAAAGTGTCTTGAAAAGGAATCTACATATCTACAGAGCCCTGGAGTAATGAATAAACATGACTAGCTGTACATTTAGAAAGAGCTAAATGTTCCTCCTGTAGCTATCAGACGTAACTGAGTCTTATGTAGCCACTGTTAGTGGAGTCTGTTAAGAAAAAAAAAAAACAAAAAACACACACATCAACCTGGAAAATTCACAGACTGCTACAACAGACAGGAGGGATGCTGAAGGAACAAGTATTATCAGAGGGCCCTCCTCAAAGCAGTAAGCACCAACATTACCTATGACACTTCTGGTGTTTAAACCAAACCCATTGCAGCCACTGAGCCCTACAGTCTCCTCTCTCTTTCACTTAGCGAAAGTAAGAGTTGCCAGTACTGCCTTCACAAACTTTTGACATTCGTTCAGCTCCGGTTTGGACAGTAAATTTTCTTTTTCAGGCACACTGCTATTATGTACTTTAAAAACTATTAGGCAGCATTTCCGTCAAACTCCTAACTATTCTTCCTGTGTTCTAGTTCACTTCTTCTGTAATATTTCATTATCTTGTATTATCTTCACTCACCAAAGTTCTCCTGTAAAATGAGAAGATTTGAAGCAGGGAGAAAGCCCACAAGGAAAGAAATTCTGCTTTTGCTTTCTCTATGTGCCATGCTTCACATAACTACCAAACCTAGATCAAGAAATTTCAAAAGAAGAAATAAAGAGATCATTACAAGTTTATCAATTATGCACCTCCTGATGCTTCATAGATCTATGCTACACCTAGGTTTTAAGTACAGTACAGGTAACAGGATATCAGGTCTGAAACAATTCACAGTGCCCTCAATGATAAGCTGTCCAAGTAGACTGGTTCAGAGCATAAAGAGGAAAGGACAAACTGGCCCTTCAGTTATGCATCTCCCGGATTCAGGGAAAAAGTCCTTTTTCTTGGCAATCAACTGGAAATCTCAGAAATCCAGAGACAAAAAAGGGTCTCCCTTCCAGAACCTTCATGTCTTTGCTGACAAAGCAGATTATTTCTAGACAGGCAAAAGCAGCCTGAAAATCAACTTAAAAGTCTATTCTGCTTACTTATAACTTCAAGTCCTTTCAAGCGAACAATCTCTTCTCTCCAGCTTGCCATCTCACTGTCATAAAAGAAAGCTATCCACATGGGCATCGAGTCTGACCAAATAAAGAAAGTAGTACCAAAAGTTCCAGGTGGTTTCACTACCTTCTAGAAACAATAAATCTCTATATCCAGCCAATTAAAAAAAACCTTTCCTTGGCACCTTTAAAACTGAACTCTGAAATTAATATGGGGGGAGGAGAAGGGCCTGGTTGAACAGATCCAAGAGGTAGTTACTGGAAACCCCTTCCATTAGCTTACACTTATGGCTAATGTACTGTCTTCTACAAATAAATTAACTTTTTCATTTTAATGTTTAAACTACTCAGAGCAAGACTAGGTTCAGTCTCCTTAAAAAAGAACTTAAAATTTGCTACTAATTCAAACCTTGACAAAAATTTTCAAACTTAGGAAAACAGCTGATATTGCATAGTTTTTAATATTTTGACAGATTTAGGATTATGTTTTCTGAAAGTAAACAACGATTAAAGAGTTACATTCTTTTAACATCCAGAGAATGTAGATCATTACTTAGAAAGAACTTTGCAAATTGATGTTACTCAAATGAATTTCTTTTTGAACAGAAATGCTGTAGGCACTCTTGAGTTTTCTTCCATTAAGTTCAGTCACATACTTCATTTTTCTTCAAATGAATTCTGAATCATAACCTTGCCCATGAAAACAGTTATAACTGGATGACAGAAAAAAATTACTTAAAAAAAATCACATCACCATCATCTATGAGCGTCTTACCTTTAAATAGGATCCATAATATTTTGTTACATATGGGCTGTCACACTGACTCAGCACAGTGATTTCTTGTTGGATGTCTTCTATTTCATCTTCTGCTTCTTCTAGATCGATAATTTTTATAGCAACCACTTTCTGAGTCCGATTGTCAATTCCTTTAAAAACTTCACCAAAAGAGCCCTTACCAATTTTCTCTAGTTTTGTAAATAGTTCTTCTGGATCTGCTTTCAGAGTCTGTTAAAAATATAAGAGAAAAATTACTCAGTATTTGTAACATTAAAACGAAACTAACATTTTTAAAGGCAGCAAATACTTCAGATTATATACCATCCTATCTATCCAGCTATTCTTTTTCCACCCCCATAATGAATGTGTTCTTCCTGCATACCTTATATGCATGTACTGCAACATTTATCCTTCCCGATATTTTAAAGTGCAAATTTATCATGGTCTCTGTGACAGGGATTTATGCTATCTGGCATCAGACAGTGCTGCTACCTCAATTTTTTCTTCTTGGCCAAAAAGCTGCAACTAAGCATTGAGAATGAAAGATCCTTAATAAAAATTTGTTTCTATTAAAACCAAAACAGGTCAAATAGCATCAATAAAAGTAAGCCTTTTTCCACCCTCTTCTCCTGAAAATGATTCCTCCCCAAAGCAAAGGTCCTATTCCTTGGCATTTTCCTTATGCCTCTTCCACTTAAGGATTTTGTTCCTGCTCTTCAGTGCACAGACTACTATTTCCTTTCGCTTGATATGGCGAGCAATCCTCCTCAATTTTCTCCTACTAAGGATCATCTGAATGAACTGCCATGCTTCCTCCAGATTCCCGACCCCAAGTTTTTCTGGAACAAGACTTTTCTTTTATTCTTCTTTTTCTTCTCCTAGTTGGTAAACTCATTCACTCCTTTCAATAAATAAATAAATCCCATTCCTACCTATCTTCATGTGAACTGAATAACGTGAAAATTATGAGCACTTGCCTAAATGTGCCATCTCAAACAACAATGCAAGACCTGTGAACTTTACCCCATCTACTTTACCACAGCAGTTCTTTCCTCCACTGTCAAATCAGTTGGCTACCGTTGCTCTTAGACTTCTTACTTTTAGTACATAGATGGTGAGTTGCACTGTGCACCTTTTTAGTCTAACAGCAAGGAGCCTTTATGGCTAATTTTTAAAAAGTATATAAATTACACTCTTACACTCTTTACCTTCAGAAAGAGAACAAACACCCTAAAAAACTTTTTTTACTTAGCAGAATGAGCTCCATGTTAATGACCATGAAAATACATTGCTTATAGAGAAGAAAGCTCACACACGGAAAAAAAAAACCAGTAATGCCCAAATAAGCATAAATCCAAGCAGTTTATACCACTTAGCCAAACTGTGTAGGAACATAAATGGGGGAAAGAGAACTTGCAAGTTACCACAGATGAGCATCAATCCAACGTTTTCTCTTTCATAACTAAATTTAGCTTATAAAGCATCTCTCACCTATACTTATGTCTATTTCTGCTCATACATCTCAAAGGTTACATAATTAATCATCACAGCCCCAAGAGGCAGATATTTTAGAAGAGACTTTAAATAGTTTGTCTAAAGCTATGAAGCACAGGTGAATTAGAACTTTTGCCATATAATGACAGAATCAAGACTACTCCATAAAGGAGTAAAGGCCTGAAGAAGTCAGTGGATTTATCTCTGGACTCAGTCAGTCACAAGCTATCTGGCCTTCAAAATATCTGAGTAAACTGCCGCTTCGCCACTTGTAATACTTTAAAGTGAGCTGCAAGAAATCACAGTCTTCAGATGTCATTCCAAGAACAGACCTCTAGTGAGATCAATTCTAAGAAAATTCACTCATCTAAGTATACTGTAAGATTCCACAGCCCCAAGAAGTTCTCCCTGATTTAAGTCCTACTGATCATCTTCTATCCAAAGTCAATTCCAAGAAACAAAATGACATAAGGTTTCATCACCCTTTTGGCATTACAGAGAACAGCCAAGCTGTCCATCAGAACAAATTTGTCCCTCCTCTAATTGTAATGTAAGCAGAATTATATAGTATAACAAGCTAATTTATCTCCCACTTGCAAACCAAGCCAGGGAACTTCATTTGCTGAAAAGAGTGAAGTGATCCATAGCCACATAGCGACCCCTCGGGCACTTCCAGGAGCGTCATGTATAACAGAATAAGTGTACAAAAATAGGCTCTAAAGCCAGCAGTGTTGTAGTGGTTTGTCCTCATGTCCCACAGAATGCTCCTTTATCGATATTCAAAATATAGACATGTCTCAGAATTCTTGATCAATAAAAAAAACAAAAACCTAATAACGACATCAGATTTCTTCCCCTGAGGAAGACAACTACGGATCTATGCATTCACATACACTGTGTTAGAATTTGAGATGACATGGCTGCAAAGATCTGTGGATGCCTAATCCCTAATCCATCCACACAGGCCTTCTAGTCCCATCCACTAGCCACAGGAATCTAAGCATTACATCATTACAAAGGTATCTGGGTAAGTCACAAACTGATCCCAGCCACAGCTGCCTGAAAAATTCTGTGTTCCACCTCCAGAAAGACTAAAAATGACAGCACTGCTTAGAATCACAGTGTACCACAAATGTTCATATGAACAAAAATTAGAAGAGGGCTACTTGCCAGCAGCTCTTCAAGATCTGTTGGCCATATGTATTCATTCCCTAGTCTCCTTTTGCCCTCAATCTCTGCAACAGCTATTACAGTCATATAATAAGGCCCATGACAGCACAATCTTCAAAGATTTGCAGAACTCTCATAGTTTTGGTTTTTTTTTAAACAAAGTATCAAGCACTCCAGATGCTAGCATTAGACTGATGCTTTTATAAACAACTGCAGCAGACTTTTTTCCCAGTCATTTTGTATTAATAATTCCAAAAAAGCAGAGAAGACTGTTCCTGGAAGTCCTGGGAAGTAGGAAAGAACTGTTCCTACTCGATTTTTGAATCAAAATTTTGTAGCAGTTTTGCAAAATGAATGGTTCAATAATAACTGGTTTAATATTGTTCTTTTCCTTCCCAAATCAGAATAAAAATCATTTCTTAATTCTAAAATGTTAAAGTTATCATTCCTGAACTTTCTTTGAGCAATAGGACATAGTAGCTGTTTACAAGAGAGCTCTACTGCCCTGAGAGAAGGGCCAAATTCTCTTCCCAGGAAAGGAGATGTTTGAAGCGAGAGCCTTAAACTTCTGGCAAGCTGTGTTTCTGGAAAACTTCCAGAAAACTACTAATTATCTGCCCTATTTCAGAAATGGACAGTTCAGGCCGCCAGATTCATAATACACTACTTGTATTCATAGTTGCATGAGTGACCAATTCCCATTTATTTTTCCAAGATAATAAACAAAAAGGATCCTCCCCATTTTTTGTTTTGTTTTTGTAAAGACTTCCCACAGAGCCAAAACAAATAGCTTCATAAATATTCTCTCTATATGGCTGTATAGAACACAAGAAAATTTTTTTCCATAGATTCTGTCACTACTGTTTTGCTGACTCTTTGCAAGTTCTTATTAAGCATATAGCATTTTCCTGCTAATACTAGAATTAAGAGAACTGATAAAAAGGCATTCCTGTAACTAAGCAGTCTGAATACAGACTGCAGAACAGAATAGCAGTATGTGCTGCAAAAGGATAATGCTAATCATCTTGTTCTATAAGGCGCTAGATACTCTACCACTAAAATATTTCCTTCAAAGCATGTCACAAAATACATACTTCGGCAAAACAGAAACAAATTCCAGAATCTACCTTTTCCTAATTCTCTGCATTGCCAATTAATGAACTCACAGCCTACTGCAAAGGTTCTTTGCAAGAATTCCTCTTTCTGACAGCTTGCACTAGGTGCTATTTCTGGTGATTCAAATTTTCAGGGTCACCTAGTTCTTCAGTAATGGCCTAATATGCTTGAGTATGTGCCTTTACATTTTGCGTCATCAGCAAATTTTAACAGCGTGCATTGACTCTTCTTGTGCTAAGGTCGCTTTACAATCATCAACAGTCACGAACAATCCTGGAGAAAACAGCAGTGCCCTCCACTCTGTCATCAACTGTCAGTACTCACCTATATAGCCAGTACTATACATGACTTATTTATTTTTATGAATCCCTAATTCTCATCTGAATTAGCTTCCCCTTTAGCTCTGCAGAAAATGATACTGAAATCCAAACTAGGCAGATTAAATAAGCACTTCTAACTTTATTCAAAACCATTCTGACTTAAGACATGGCTTTAACTAAATGAGTCTTTTTCTCCATCTCTTTCCATGAACAGAGATTTATAATGAACAGAGATTTATAATCTCTGTTCATAAAGGATTATTCATCTAGTTAGCTTTTTAACCCTTTTCTACAATTTTTTTCTCTTGAACTTACAGGAATCACAGGCCATCTCCATGTTCAAGTCCTTGGCCTTATTAGCGCAACTGTTTCACTCAGAGATCTTTAAATTCTTTGTCTGTTCTTTTGAAACAGGCAATCGTCATTCAAGATCTCCTTTTGTACACCCTTCCATTTTACCAAATCAGGTTCCAATTAGTCAGCCCAAAAATATTATCAGCAGTTCTTTTACCAAAACCTTACTTTCTATCCAGATCAAGCCCAAAATACCATCATTTCCAACAGACTTAGAGATTCCTGGTGAATATAAAATACCACATGGTGAACTGGCTTGTGGTTTTTCATGATTACTGCTGTCTGCTACCACTCTCAGGAGCTAACACAAAGAGGTTCAAAACACACTCTTCTTCACACTTATGCACGTAAAGCTGGACACACTCTGCCACAGGATGCTGCAGATGTTGAACACTATGAACTCCTTAAGGACTAGAGAAACTAATGGAAAAATAAAATAAAATTAAAAAAAAAATCAAGGTAATCACTTTTGACTCTGGAAATCCCTAAAATTTATCAGAAGCTGTGGAAGTATGCAACGGAAGTATCACAACTGCCAATTCTTACACTTTTTCCTAGAGATCCAGCAATAACCACCATCACCGACAAAACACTGGACTAGATGGGCCTATGATCTAACCTCATCAGTTATGTTTTAAATTATTTGTATCCAAGGCAGAACTTTAAAGTTAAACTAAATACCTTCCTTTTATTTCATTACTATGTTGTGCTTAATCCTTCTTCTCTAAACACAATTATAAATCATATTAGGATGGCTAACCAGCAGCCTAC